ATATAAACCCCCAAATCAATATTGAGGATTTTCTTCCAATAGTTCGTGCATCATGAACAGTGAGTGATCTGCCTGCTACAGTATTTTTCTCTGTGCGTCCATCTTCAACGTCTCTGGCCTGTGTTAACGGGCCTTTACAGACTTCATATTTTCACATAAATGACATTTTGGAAAACGTTTGCATTGCAACGCAGTTTGTGCAAGTCCAGAACAGAGACGAGTTTCTTGCAATAAGAAAAAAACGGCCGGTTGCCGATCGCGCAAGTTCCAGGGGAAGCTCCTTAAATTCGGCCATCCTACACACACGTGACTGACCGCTCCGGTTTTGAAACAGTGACATTTTCAAATCGCGGTATACCTTGAAACCGGTAATCGGCCCATGTCTAGTTCCTACCACCATGCCCTACTAGTTGAGATACAATTAGAGATACATGCACGTCTTACAGTCGACACTAAAAGAAATAAGTAAAATAAAATTGTTAATGGATATGGCTCTACTGAAAAGTATAATATAGACTTGTGACTGAGACTGAGCTGTTTTCTTGCTGCTATGTGATTCCAACAAAAATCTTTTTAGAAGCTTTCAAGATTTGATGACATGAAGAGTGCAAACCATCGCAAATCCAGCAATTAGCAGTGTTGGTGGTAACTCATTACAAGTAATGCGAGTTACGTAATCAGATTACTTCTTTCAAGTAACTAGTAAAGTAAAGCATTACTTTTTAATTTACAAAAAAAATTTCAGAGTTATTTTTTCAAATCAGTAATGCCAGTTACATTGTTTTTCCATTTATTGATCGCCAGCTCTCCTGTCATCATGTTGAGAGAAATGGGGAGTAAGTGCAGAGGCGATATTAACCAATGTCTTTGCTGCTGACCTTTGATGATCCAGTTCAACCATACTAATAGGCAAAAATTACTTTAGATAAACTAACAATTGTACTTTGTTTTTTTATTGCTGAAGAGTGTTTCTTCTCCTGCGTTCTACTGTACAGACGTGAATTTACTTCTGCTTCAGCCTGAGGTTTATTCATTACACTTTTTGGTGTGAAAGGGCTTTTATATTTGCTATAAATAGAACTTCTTATATTAAAAACAATCAAGCCCTGCTTATATTTAAAAAGTAACGCGAAAGTAACGCAAAAGTAATATAACGCATTACTTTACATAAAAAGTAACTAAGTAACGTAATTAGTTACTTTTTTTAGGGAGTAATGCAATATTGTAATGCATTACTTTTAAAAGTAACTTTCCCCAACACTGGCAATTAGTATACACAAACCATTATTTTCTAAGTGACTGATCCAAACTCTGAGAAGATAAACAGTACCCACTCAATCACATTCCTCAAGATATAATACATATGTAAAAATTCAATACATTTCACAGTATCATAACTCGATTCAAACCAAAACTGACATGTCAAGCATGTCAGAGCACACTAAAAAACATCTCAACGCTTAAACAACCACCTTTATTACTGAAAAGCAGGGCTTGTTAAAGACAACCAAAAGTATATAATAAGTGTGCAAGACAGAACGTACCTGTGGCTGAAGTGGTGCCTGAACCGGGGGAAAAAAAAAAAGAAAAAAGGCAGAAACAACTGAAAAATCATTCAAAATCAGCAGCAAACCTGATTAGTCCATGAGGTTTGTGTGTATGAGATCGAGTTAAGACAATGAGTTAGAAAGTGAAAGAGAAAGAAATAGCTTGGGAGAAAAAGGAGAGGTGAAAGGGGGGTGGTTGTTTTTTTTTTCAGTTGCCTGAATATCTGCCGAGGCCTTTGAGTTTCTCTGCGGCCAAAACAAAGAGACAGGAAACTTAAGCAGGTTCTCACTCTTTCTTTCACACGGTTCCATCGCTCTCTTCCTCTACTGACACAGACACCTACAGCAGCTTTCCATCAACCTTTTTTTCTTCTGTTATTTCTCTTTTTTCATTCCACAAAAATACTCCGTCGGTTTGGCAAGAGCAATTCTCTGTGAATTTCTCCAGGTTGTGTGTGTGCATGTGCCCCTGTGTGGGGCCTCCTGGGCCTCTCTTGAAAAGAAAAAGATGGTTCGGCAGTCATCTACTGCTCACTCTGTACCAAAGCCTCTCCAGTCTCTCCAGAGCTTCACGCCTCAGAGCTTCCCTTCACCTTTCTCTAATGACACAAACGCTCTTTAGGTGACACCATGCTGAATATAAAATGTCCAACTAACACTCAGAGAACATCACATATATACTTGTTATTAGAAGGAAGCACGGTCAGAATGGTCAACTAGTAGGCGAAAAATGAAAAATGAGGTCAACTACTTTTTTTTTTCTTTTTATGTGGCTTTAATATTTTTAGTGGCAGTGCTTTAAAGGGAGCACAACTTCACAGAGAGTGTTTGAACATGCTGAAAGACTAAAAGAAATTGTGTCGAGCCTTCAAACTTTAACACATTTCACGACAATGATTGTCAGTCTTCAAATCACTTGTTGTTATTAACACGTAGGTCTCTGTATTTATAATGACCGATGATTTTGTTTGCTAAAAGGTTGCATAATTCAGTCATTTTGTGTGATGAATACCATTCAGTTACCCCACTGAACAATTGAGATTAGCATCTATACATCTTTGAAAACACATCTGGCATCAGATAGACATGCCCTCAACCAGTCTATATATACACAGAGCTTCTTTAAAGGGATAGTTAACCCAAAAATTTAAATTCTGTCATTATTTTGAATTGATATTTTGAAGAATGAAATTGATATTTTGAGGAATGTTGCAAACCACACTATTTATTTCCATTATATGGATAGAAAAAAAACATTTTATGTCTAGAGAAGAAAAAAAAAAAGCCAAACTGTTTTGAAATAACTCCACAAGTGAGTAAATGATGAATTGCAAATGAACAATCAGCAAAACCTACATTAACAAGGAAAACCATTTGGCACAGTTCTAACATCACTTTATCTATTTGTTTGTATCACATTTGTCAGATTATAAGAGATCCGTCACACAGACGGTATCTTGGGTAAAGGATTTAGAAGGCTTAGACATAGAAAGGTCAATATCGATCCAGGAGGGTTATGCTACACTATCACCTTCTACAAATCCTTCTCAACAAACAAGTGATTTGGTCTATCTTACTTTTCTTTACGCACAAGAAATCTAACACACATGTCGAGCCACCCAGCAACCAGTCAGCCAAATTCAAGATCTAACAGGCGGAAGGAAGAAACATATCCTTATCAGCTGAAGATAATGCGTGTCCTTAGGAACGGTGGCCCAAGAGGGGATAAAGAAAGATGTGAAACAAAGCAAAACCAGATTACATCTAATTAGCAGAACTCTGCGAATGCCCCTAGTGCAACCCGATTAAAGAAAAGAGAGATTCTCATGCAGTGATACAGAGATTCGGAGGATGAAAGTGTGAAAGAAGGACAAAGACGACTCAGTTCTCCGGAGTATTTTGCAATAGAAGGTCCCTGTAAGCATTAAACCAGCACTTCTTCCTGCATCAAGTCTGATGTTTGAGAGTTCCAGCATTAGCAGATGCTCTAATGAAATTTATGACTGTCTATCCCTCACATGACATAAGTCCCTCTCCCATCTGCCCCACGACAGCCCTCAAAAAGCCCTTTCTGCTGTCTAAAATGTACTGCCTCATACCTCACCCCTCTCAATGAAGGGGGCGTAACCTGTCCTATGGGGCAAGGAGTCCTCAACCAAACATGTCAGCTCAGCACATACTTTCCTCTCTTGCTCTCGCTGTCTCTCTTCCAGTGCTGTCACTCTCCCTTCTCTTTTAATTTGGATAATGTCTTGGTTAAATCATTGTTAAGCAGCAGATCTACTAACACAGGACAGATAACTTTGAATGAATGGGTGTTTCTTCATCTACAAGAACTTTTATGTCCTAGTGGTTGATTTTTTTCCCAGCTTTTTTCTTTTTATAACACTAAACTTTTCTCTAGCATTTAATTACAAATGCTTTCAATGTATAGATTTTATAGTTTTGCACTTGTCCCAGACAGATTTTATTCTAAAAATTAATCATTTTATTACCTGTTTAAAACTATGATAATCTACAAAAGGAGCAAAACAAGTATTAGAAAATTAACAGTGTGAAAATTTAAAGTTATGAAATGGTATGTCCATAAAAAAAAAAAAGATAAATAAAAAGTAAAAAAATGATTAATTTTTAGAATAAAAT